TTATTTAATTGCACTTCAGCATTACATCTTTTCCTTCAGAAACAATTGAGTCCTGTCCGTGATACTTTTTTTTATTTGCACTAACATACAAATTTGAGGACAAAGCTTTTGGGGAATGTCCCCTTCTTCAAGGTCCAAGCAGTACTTTTACTCACAAAGTTCTAGCAGAATGTTAGAAAGAAATGATTAATGTGTGTTTCAAAAAAAAAAAGAGTCTATAAAGAGATAAGACACAAACAGCAAAAGCAAAGGGGGGGGGGGGGGGGGGGGACAACACTCACAGAGGGAGTCATGCTTGAGGTGATAGTCATAATAGTGATAATTCTATGTGACACAAGAGATAACGGCCTGAATGTGGACATGGGATTCCTCAATCATTATCCAAACAGTTTTATGACTTATCACCTCAAGCATGACTCCCTCTGTGTGAGTGTTGTCTCCCCCCCCCCCCCCCCCACACCCCACCCCCCCCTTTGCTTTTGCTGTGTCTTATCTCTAGACTCTTTTTTTTTTTTTATCTTTTCTAACATTCTGCTAATACTTTTTGTGATTAGTACTGCTGGGACCTGAAGAGGGGGACATTCCCCGAAAGCTTGTCCTCAAAATTGCATGTTAGTGCAAATATAAAAAAAGTTTCACGTCAGTACTCAATTGTTTCTATAGCAAATGCACTAATACGGCTACAATCACCTCAAGAACCTTTTCCTTCCATACTTTGGAGAACCATATACATTCCACAAAATGTGGTCATACAAAAAACTAGGATTTATTTATAAACTGTGCATGTCCCTGGGGGGTTCAATCTTCCAGGCAGCTCTGAGTTTTCTGTAGGGATTCATTTTACTCAGGAGCCAGATTTGATTTAGTCTCAGATGAACTCAGACAATTTACACTTGTATGTGCTCCAGAGATGTCAGGGGAAACGTATCTATTATAAATATATGTGTGTGAGGCCAATGCAACTGCACTGTGACCAGAAATGTCACACATGTAACACATCTCCACATCAGACCTGCCCCCACTGAATTGCCTCTTCCAGTGGAGAATTCCCCCACCCCTATTGCATCAGCATTATTTACATCTGCTTGGGGTATCAGAAATGTTGAAAGTTATAGGGAATTTGTGTGAGGGGAAGTGTGTTTCAAAAATCAATAATTAGACTGTATATACCTTTATATTGGCAGGGAATCCTATAGCTGATATCATACATTTTATGCTATCTAGGTCTATGTTGTGATGAAGTTCCTGACCAGTTGGACATGTGATAAGACTGCTTTCAGGATTATAGAGAGACCTCAGTCATATGCTGATTTTGTCTATGTTTGTGATGACCTTCCTGACCAGTTGGACATGTGATAAGGCTGCTTCATGGTCACAAAGGCAGCTTCGTCATATGCCAATTAGGTCTATATTGTGATGAAACTCCCGACCAGGTAGGTTTTTGATAATAATGTTTTGGGGGTCAAAAAGACACCTAAGTCATATGATAATTAGGTCTATGTTGTGATGAAGTTCCTTACTATTGGACATGTGATAAGGCTGCTTTCATGATTATAGAGACACCTCAGTCATATGATAATTAGGTCTATGTTGTGATGAAGTTCCTTGATATTGGACATGTGATAAGGCTGCTTTCATGATTCTAGAAACACCTCAGTCACATGCTAATTAGGTCTATGTTGTGATGTAGTTCCTGACCAGGAGGGCCTTTGCTAAGACTGTTTGAGGGTCAGAAAGACACCTAAGCCATATGCTAACACTATGTTGTGGTGAATTTCCTGACCAGTTGGACATGTGCTATGACTGTTTTAGGGTCATAATAGCACCTCAGTCACATGCTACTTAGGTCTATGTGGTGATTAAAAATTCTTGACCAGGTAGGTCTTTGATAATAAAGTTTTAGAGGTCAGAAAGACACCTAAGTCATATGCTAATTAGGTCTATTTTCTGATGAAGTTTCTGACCAGTTTGGCCTTTGATAAGACTGTTTCAGGGTCCCAAAGACAGTTCAGTCATACACTAATTAGGTCCAAGTTGTGGTGACCTTCCTCATCTGTTGGACATGTAATATGACTGTTTTAGGGTCATAAAGGCAGCTCAGTCATATTCTACTTAGGTCTATGTTGTGGTGAAGTTCCTGACAAGTTTGGCCTTCAATAAAACTTTTCAGTTCATAAAGCATTGTCTGATTGGACACAATGGAACCAGCTATAGAGAATGTGTATGAAAAGAAATGTGTTTAGCTATTATTATATAGAAGACGCACACAAGCCCCCCAATGCTAGCTACTGACAGAAAACTGCCCATGAAGAGATAGTATATTTGTACACATGGAAGACATACAGGTGCATCTATAGATTGGACATATGTTGGGTGTATGGAGAATCTGTATCTTTGCCTAAATCATGAAAGAGCGTAGAATTTTGTAGGGACTTACGGGATATTTTTTATTAATATATTATATATATTATTTTGTATATTCTCTCTTGGGCTTGTCACTAGTCTATGGGACATGTTACAGTTTTTAGAAAGGACATGAAGATCATTAACTCTGGACATATGAACTGAATAATATTTTAAATAGTGCTCCGAACACAATATTACAAGGAACAAAATGTTAGAGGAGGCTGTAACAAGAAACAAGAAAGCAACAAAAATGTATTTACTTTTACTACTGAGGTAGTGTATCTTGTAAATATCATAAACAGTTAGAAATATCAGCTCAGCCCAATATATATATATATATATATATATATATATATATATATATATATATTTGTGTGTGTGCGCCTTACATTTTGTTAGGATGGAAAATATATATGCCTGTTTACAGGGTTTGCATGTATTTTACAAATATTTACAGTAGCACCATCGTTGTTCTATTTAAAAGCAGCAGCAACACTCACAATTTACTGTAATAAGGCTTCACTTTCTGACAGTCTTTGCAGCTATCTGAGTTCTGTGTAGAAATTTGAGAAAAGTTATGAAGCACTTACCGCCTGTCCACAGTATACTTACTGTGGGTGGCACAGGCAGGCCAGGCAATGTACTGGTAGGTCGCTCAGCACATGTGTATTAGTGCGCCCCCTGGGGTGCATTGCAGTTTGATCCTGTGACCTCTGTGTTCGGTGGACACAACGGATCGCAGTGCTCAGTACCCGGCCGCTATGAGTGGCCTGGGTATCATGTGATTGCTATGACCAATTATAGAGATCACATAATATTATGTAATCAAAATGTCCTGAATGGATTTCCATTCAGGACAGCTTGATTACTGTTGTGATGCTGTGATTAGCCCACAGCTATCATATGGCATCTGATTACCTGTATCGTGTGATTAGCTGTAGCCAATTGCAGCAAGTCAACAATAAGCAAAGTGTCATGAATGGAAAGCCATTCATGACAGCTAAAACTATTGCTTATAGCAGCGATCATCGCTGTCATAAGCAATAACTGTGTAAAAAAAAAAATCCCTGATCACATCATGTCACCACTCAGTGTCCCTGATCACATTATGTCACCACTCAGTGTCCCTGATCACATTATGTCACCACTCAGTATCCCTGATCACCTCCACACCAGTCATGTGATGGTGCTGTACTGCACTAGTGGCAAGATGTAAAAAAGAGTGTGCAAAAAATATTTAATTTCTTCAATTTACAAAAAAAGTAAAACTTCAGAAAACTTGCCATGCCTCTTACTAAATACCTCAAACTGCCTACTTTCCAAAAAGGGGCCTTTTGGGCAGTAATTGTACTGTCTTGGCATTGCAGGGCCTCAAGAAATGAGATTGGCCATCAGTACATCAGGACTGATCAATTTTCAAATAAATATCCCATAGATTGTAGACTCTATAACTTTCACACAGACTAAATAAAATACACTGGTGGAGTATGTTACCTAAGGAATTTAGTAGAATACATTTTGGCCTAAATTTATAATGAAAGAACTTTTATTTGAAAAATGTTATAACAAAAACTAAAGAAACTAAAAAAAAATGTATTTTTTTTTTTTCAAAATGTTTGGTATTTTCTGTTTTATAAAGCAAACAATTAAAAAAACCCCAGTGGGGATTAAATACCACCAAGAGAAAGCTCTATTTATGTGAAAAAACTGATAAAAATTTAATTTGGGTACAGCATTACATGGATGCACAATTGCCAGTCAAAGTAGTGCAGTGCTGAATAGCAAAAATGGTCTGGTCATGAAGAGGGTGAAACCTTCCATTAAGTGGTTAATCTCCCTTTCTGGGAACCTAATTTGGGGTCCTGGTCTACAGGTTTGGCTCCACAGATTCCATAAGAATCTATACTATATTACTTAGGGAAAAACTCAAACTTTAATTAAATAGATTTTTTGGAAGGATGCAGAAATAGCAGTCACCTTTTTTTCACTGTTTTCCATGACCCAAAAGATACAGTAAGTAAGGCTCGGATCCTTTCTTTTTCCAAAGGAGAAAACATGCTAATCTTTCAGAGAAAATCATTGGCATTAAATTAAAAAGTGCTGGTCAATGTCTGGGAGTGGGATTTGGGGTCCTGGTCTACAGGTTAAGCTCCCTGAATTGCATATAGAAAAAACGACAGAGAAATTCTTCAAAGTAAATAATCTTTTTGGAAAGACGCATCGATAGCTGTGATTTTATTTTTATTTATTTTTTTTAATTAGAAAAAAAATATTTAAAGTAAGACTTTGACCCTTCTCCTTCAGGTAGTACATTGGATGTGTCTGTTCAACATATGAGATTCTTGAAAAATAATTTTGGATTTGCTATTGTTTACTTTGAATTGTAGATCTATTTAAAATCACTTAGAAAAATCAGTTGCAAATGTGTTTTATGATTTCAGTGTTTGATGTGAATTATTATCAAGTCAATGTGTTCCATGAAATGTAGCAAAAAAGTGAATTGTACATCATTGTTGTACATGTTTTTCTAAATGTTTATATATAATATATACATATAAGTTATATTGTTGCAATGAGGAATCAGACAATATTTAATGAATTTATTTCTTGTTGGACTGTCTGACCTTCCCACTCTTCAGCTTCCTCTGTTTATCTTCTTCCTTCTCATCTACCTTCTGACATTAATCTGGAATTTGCTGATCATTGTCCTCATAGTCACCGACTCTCACCTCCACATTCCTATGTATTTCTTCCTGGGGAACCTGGCCGGTTTGGACCTTTGCAGTTCCTCAGTCATCGTCCCACGAATGTTATTTGACCTTCACACTACAAAAAGAAAGATTACAACAACGGCTTGTATGACCCAAGTCTTCTTCTTTGTATTTTGCATTGCCTCTGAGGCTTTTCTGTTGTCCGTCATGTCCTATGACCGATACATTGCTATTTGTAAGCCATTGCATTACATAGAGATCATGAGCTGGAAAATGTGTGTAGAGTTGGTGTTCAGTGTGTGGTGTCTCAGTTTCCTTTATTCTTCAATCCACACATTTTATGCTTTTAAATTAACATTTTGTGAATCAGATACTGTAGAAAGTTTCTTCTGTGACCTTCCTCAATTGTTTCATATCTCTTGCAGTGAAACCTACATCAACATTCTGCTCATTGTTTTTCTTGGGTGGCCTTCTTGGAGTTTGGACTCTAATTATGATTTTCTTTCCTTATGTCTACATATTCAAAACTGTTCAAAAAATAGAAGTGAAGGGCAATCGGAGTAAAGTGTTCTCTACCTGTACCCCTCACCTCACAGTGGTGTTTATATATTATGGCTCTAGTTTTTTTCAATTATTTACAGCTAAATGCAAGTCATCAGTTTGCTGGTAACAAAGTGGTGTCCATGTTTTACACCGTGATACTTCCTCTCCTCAATCCTCTGATTTATAGTTTAAGGAACCAGGATTTCAAAACAGCATTCCGAGATGTTTTAAGGAAGATCATCCCCAATGTGATACAGAATTTACCTAAACTAAACCATTACAGCTAAATTTTAAAAAGAGTGGCTGTGTGCGCATGCTCACATCAGAGGCTTTGAAGAAGTGTTTGTGCACACCTCTGGCACAGAGCACAGCCCTTATTTATTTATTTATTTCAGGTACTTATATAGGGCTGTCAATATACGCAGCACTTTACATATATATTGTACATTCACATCAGTCCCTGACCCTCAAGGGGAGTACAATCTAAGGTCCCTAACTCACATTCATACATACACATACTAGGGACAATATAGACAGGAGCCAGTTAACCTCCCAGCATGTCTTTGGAGTCAGGCTATTCCACGATATCACATGCCAGCCACGCCCATCCAAGGGCATGCCTGTGCCTCGGGATCCTTTTGTAAGTCTCCCCGCTGTTAGAATAAAATAGATTAGCAGGTGATTCCCCATCAACACCAAGTGTGTTCATGGGGGGAATACAAAACTTTTTCTTTGTTCAAAATATATATAATTTTTGTCCCAAAAAAAAATATCTATAGCCTTCCTTAATCTACTATCCCAGATAGACTTCATTAGGATACATAGTTTCTCTTTGCTTCACTTATTTATAAAGTGCTTCCAGGTAATTCCTCTGATCATTTTTGCCATATATCAACAAAGAGAAAAATAAAATCTAGTTTCCAGATAACACATAAGGCCTTGTCGTTTGTACTGGAAATTCAAACCATAGTTAACACTGTCATTTATTATTTTCGAATAAGTACAGCTGGAAAATCAGCCTTCATCAACAAGTCATTCAAATTTCACTTTTAATTCTGATGTTTTTTTATTTTTACTGCAGTTTTGTTTTATATTTTTTGATAACTGCTCCACTTTTAACAATTTTTTTTTATCTTTAATTCAGCACCAAAACTTTTTAATTAAAACTTCAATAATTGTATGAAATAATAAAACAGAAAAACATATATTTGTAAAATACTATTTTAAATTACATTAAAATAATAGCAGTTGTTTTGCTGATCATTATGTATAGGCCCAATGTGAGTGCTTTTCAAAGATTCATTAATTTAAATAATACTTCATTTTCTGTAGAGATTAATTGTCCAGGGAGCCATGTTTTAGATTGATCTCAGATGGATACAGAGCCAATATACACTTCTGTGTGCTTTGGAGACGCCAGGGGAAATTTCTGTATTATAAATACCGTATTTGCTGGCGTATAAGACGACCCCCCTACTTTTCCTGCTAAAATGTAGTGTTTGGGCTATACTTGCCGTATAAGACTACCCCTCTTCCAATGCACACCAGTGGGAGGAATAGTGCCCCATCATTGGTGTCAGTGGGAGGAATAGTGCCCCATCATTGATGTCAGTGGGAGGAATAGTGCCCCATCATTGGTATCAGTGGGAGGAATAGTGCCCCATCATTGGTATCAGTGGGAGGAATAGTGCCCCATCATTGGTATCAGTGGGAGGAATAGTGCCCCATCATTGGTGTCAGTGGGAGGAATAGTGCCCCATCATTGGTATCAGTGGGAGGAATAGTGCCCCATCATTGATGTCAGTGGGAGGAATAGTGCCCCATCATTGGCATTAGTGGCAGGAATAGTGCCCCATCATTGGTGTCAGTGGAGGACAAGTGCTCCATCATTGGTGTCAGTGGGAGGAATAGTGCTCCATCATTGGTATCAGTGGGAGGAATAGTGCCCTATCATTAGTATCAGTGGAGGAATAGTGCTCCATCATTGGTGTCAGTGGGAGGAATAGTGCCCCATCATTGGTATCAGTGGCAGGAATAGTGCCCCATCATTGGTATCAGTGGGAGGAATAGTGCCCCATCATTGGTATCAGTGGGAGGAATAGTGCCCCATCATTGGTATCAGTGGGGGGAATAGGTGCCCCATCATTGGTATCAGTGGCAGGAATGGTGCCCCATCATTGGTATCAGTGGCAGGAATGGTGCCCCATCATTGGTATCAGTGGCAGGAATAGTGCCCCATCATTGGTGTCAGTGGGAGGAATAGTGCCCCATCATTGATGTCAGTGGGAGGAATGGTGTCCCATCATTGGTGTCAGTGAGGGGTGGAATAGTGCCCCATCGTTGGTGTCAGTGGGGGGGAGGAAATAGTGCCACATCATTGATGTCAGTGGGAGGAATAGTGCCCCATCGTTGGTGTCAGTGGGGGGGAGGAATAGTGCCCCATCGTTGGTGTCAGTGGGAGGAATAGTGCCCCCATCATTGGTATCAGTGACACCAATGATGGGGCACTATTGAGAAGATTTTCAAGGGTCAAAAAGTCGTCTTATACGCCGGCAAATACGGTATATATAAATGAATATACAAAATACATTGTGATACAACACGCAGTACAGTTTTCTTTTATGTTACTGTAACTGCATTTTTTTTCCCCATCATGTCAGCTTCCACTGGACTGACCCTTGAAATTGGGTATCGTTATCCAAGGATATTAGAAGCATTTTATCAAGATTGTCATTTCTTTCAGTTGACTTTTCCCATATATATGCTATATATTGCTTTTTAGATTTATTTTACAGGTATTGTACCTTGCAGACATTATTATGTGTGTGTGTTTTTATTTTTTACTGCTTATCAGATTTTGTTTTATAAACATATCACATGTAAGATCATACAATATATTACATATAGGCACATAGTAGTGCTCCATCATTGGTATCAGTGGGAGAGGAATAGTGCCCTATCATTAGTATCAGTGGAGGAATAGTGCTCCATCATTGGTGTCAGTGGGAGGAATAGTGCCCCATCATTGGTATCAGTGGCAGGAATAGTGCCCCATCATTGGTATCAGTGGGAGGAATAGTGCCCCATCATTGGTATCAGTGGGAGGAATAGTGCCCCATCATTGGTATCAGTGGGGGGAATAGGTGCCCCATCATTGGTATCAGTGGCAGGAATGGTGCCCCATCATTGGTATCAGTGGCAGGAATGGTGCCCCATCATTGGTATCAGTGGCAGGAATAGTGCCCCATCATTGGTGTCAGTGGGAGGAATAGTGCCCCATCATTGATGTCAGTGGGAGGAATGGTGTCCCATCATTGGTGTCAGTGAGGGGTGGAATAGTGCCCCATCGTTGGTGTCAGTGGGGGGGAGGAATAGTGCCACATCATTGATGTCAGTGGGAGGAATAGTGCCCCATCGTTGGTGTGTCAGTGGGGGGGAGGAAATAGTGCCCCATCGTTGGTGTCAGTGGGAGGAATAGTGCCCCATCATTGGTATCAGTGACACCAATGATGGGGCACTATTGAGAAGATTTTCAAGGGTCAAAAAGTCGTCTTATACGCCGGCAAATACGGTATATATAAATGAATCACATACAAATACATTGTGATACAACACGCAGTACAGTTTTCTTTTATGTTACTGTAACTGCAATTTTTTTTCCCCATCATGTCAGCTTCCACTGGACTGACCCTTGAAATTGGGTATCGTTATCCAAGGATATTAGAAGCATTTTATCAAGATTGTCATTTCTTTCAGTTGACTTTTCCCATATATATGCTATATATTGCTTTTTAGATTTATTTTACAGGTATTGTACCTTGCAGACATTATTATGTGTGTGTTTTTATTTTTTACTGCTTATCAGATTTTGTTTTTATAAACATATCACATGTAAGATCATACAATATATTACATATAGGCACATATATTTCAAGTTTTTGCATATTATAGTGTGTTTTTTTTAACTGATATTTTTAATCTATACAGCTGTATTATACAGAAACATATGTGCTGCACTATTCCAAATAAATCTAGATATCAGTGTATGGTATATGGTGATATATAATGCAAAAAATATTAACCCCTTGGTGCCGGCGCCTGCCAGCAAGTGGTTAATACAAGTTTTTGGAAATGTAATCCGACACATTTTTAAATGAGGTCCAAGATGATAAATATTAAAACAGGGTTTCTTTTACACATAGTTAAGCTTACATGTAAGGTATTAAATTAAATATAAATATGTTGTGCTTCCCCCTTCCAATGTACAATCAATAATATGAATGCATAAAACATTAAAAAGTGTACAATTTAAAGAAGTGACAAAGGGAATCAAAACAAAGTGACATGTAGTATCCTTGATGGGAATCACACGGGGGAGTCTATATGCAGTATAAGATATATCTCTAATTTCATCTTCAGTATTTTGGTATTTGGATACTTTGTGAGTGCAGTTCTCCTAGTTAATACATGTATAATATTTCACAAATGTGATCATATGATTGACCCCCTGGTGCAGAGTTTTTGTTTTTTTCACATTAAATATGGTAAGTGGATAGCAGTTAAATTACTTGTGAAAATTACTGAGATCGATATTAGATTGGATCCAGAGGTATGTCTTCTCTATGTCACAGAGCTTCCAGTGAGATTATACAAGGATTCAGGAATATGGCATTTCTTGAGCGCAGCTAAGAGTCTGATACCTAGGTTCTGGAAAAAAAAGGGAGGTGCCGACAGAGGAGGATTGGATGGTCAGAATGAATCAGATTTGTGGGACGGAAAGATTGTATTATATGCATATAGATAAGATGGGGAAGTATTATATAAAGTGGAAAAAATGGGAAGAGTATAGAGAAAAAGTGAAATATATGATGATGATTTATTCCCCTCGAAATAAAAACGGATTTTAGAAATGGTTTTTAGAAAGAAAAAAAAAAAGGTTTTGGGTTAGAAGAGAAATGCAGAGTGGGGGGGGGGGAGGTGATTGAAGGAGTAGGGGAGGGGGGGGGAAGGAGGGTAGGGTAAGTGGGATATAGATAAATTATGTCAATAGGAAGATATTGATTTGATGCCTTTTTATCGAAGAAAGTGATTGTGATTTGTACTTGGTTGAAAATTAATAAATATTTATAATAAAAAAAAAAAAACTGTGTTAGGGTTATTTTTATGGTGAATTTAGTTAATCGTGTTAGTGAGTAGAGTTAGGGAGGGCCTACACATAGGGGAGTTGACTCTGGGACATTTCATTGGATGGGAAAATGCACTAAACGTATTAGTCCATTTGATTTATTTTGCACATCTTTTTGATAACACAATCTTAATTCCATTTAGAGGCAGTGGGGTGGATTTACTAAAAGCAAATAGACAGTTGCACTCTGCAGTCGCTCCAGAGCTTAGTGGATGAGGTAAAGATTCACTTTGCAAAGAATACCCAATCACATGCCAGGAAAATAGAAAAAAAAAAAAAACAGCATTTATGCTTGCGCGTGATTGGATGACAGAAGTCAGCAACACATCTACTCATTTACTTAGATCTGGAGTAACTGCAATTTGCAAAGTGCACAGTTTATTGACCTTTAGTACATCAACCCCAGTGGTGGCAACACTTGCAATTTACTTTAGTGAAGTCTCACTTTATGGCAGCTGCTGTGGCTATCTGAGCTTTCTGTTAAAAAAAAGGGAGAAAGTATACTAATCTCCCAGAAAAATTAGCCAGAACACAATAAAACATATCATTATGTTTTGAATGCCTCATTTGGATCCTTGACCTATGATTCAGGCTTTGCAATTAGCATGAAAATAAAATATTTATTTATTTATTTCAGGTAATTATATAGGACCATCAATTTTACTCAGCACTTTGCATATATATTGTACAATCACATCAGTCCCTAACCCTCAAGGGGCGTACAATCTAAAGCAGGGGTGGGCAAACTTTTTGACTTGAGGGCCGCAATGGGTTCATATATTGGACCCGGGGGCCGGACCAAGAGTAGATGAATGTTGTGTATGTGTCATCCATAGTAAGTATAGTAATATTCCCCCATAGTAAGCATAGTAATTAATACCCCATATAGTAATTCATCCCCCATAGTAATTCATCCCCCATATAGTAATTCATCCCCCATAGTAATTCATCCCCCATATAGTAATTCATCCCCCATATAGTAATTCATCCCCCATATAGTAATTCATCCCCCATATAGTAATTCATCCCCCATAGTAATTTATCCCCCATAGTAATTCATCCCCCATAGTAATTCATCCCCCGTATAGTAATTCATCCCCCCATATAGTAATTCATCCCCCATATAGTAATTCATCCCCCATAGTAATTTATCCCCCATAGTAATTCATCCCCCATAGTAATTCATCCCCCGTATAGTAATTCATCCCCCATAGTAATTCATCCCCCATATAGTAATTCATCCCCCATATAGTAATTCATCCCCCATAGTAATTCGTCCCCCATATAGTAATTCATCCCCCCTATAGTAATTCATCCCCCATATAGTAATTCATCCCCCCTATAGTAATTCATCCCCCATAGTAATTCATCCCCCATATAGTAATTCATCCCCCATATAGTAATTCATCCCCCATAGTAATTCATCCCCCATATAGTAATTCATCCCCCATAGTAATTCATCCCCCATATAGTAATTCATCCCCCATAGTAATTCATCCCCCATAGTAATTCATCCCCCATATAGTAATTCATCCCCCCCATAGTAATTCATCCCCCATAGTAATTCATCCCCCATATAGTAATTCATCCCCCATAGTAATTCATCCCCCCATATAGTAATTCATCCCCCATAGTAATTCATCCCCCATATAGTAATTCATTCCCCATATTAAGTCCCCAAGTCCCCCCTGTGTCAATTCACTTACCTTTGCTCCTGTCGCCGTGTTCCCGCGCCGTTCCGGTGTAGCATGAAAATCTGTCTCCTATGAGGATCTCTCCCCCTCGACGTATCTGCGCATGTGCCAGTTTCAGGCATTAGCAGCCGATCGGCGATCTCCGGCACATGCGCAGATACGTCGAGGGGGAGAGATCCTCATAGGAGACAGATTTTCATGCTACACGGCGGACTGTGAGAGGAGCCTAGCGGGAGCCTAGCTCCGCGGGCCGGATTAAAAGGTCCGCCGGGCCGTATACGGCCCGTGGGCCGTAGTTTTTGCCCATTGCTGATCTAAAGTCCCTAATTTACATCCATACATACACATACTAGGGACAATTTAGACAGGATCCAATTCACCTAACAGCATGTCTTTGGAGTGTGGGAGGAAACCGGAATACCAGGAGGAAACCCATGCAGGCACAGGGAGAACATGCAAACAATTTAGGGAAAAGTGTGGGAAAATATGTATGTCTTTGGTTTCTATATCTATCCATTTATCTATCTATCTATCTATCTATTATCTATCTATCTATTATCTATCTATCTATTATCTATCTATATCTATCTATCTATCTATCTATCTATTATCTATCTATCTATCTATTATCTATCTATCTATCTATCTATCTATCTATCTATTATCTATCTATCTATCTATTATCTATCTATCTATTATCTATCTATATCTATCTATCTATCTATCTATCTATCTATCTATCTATCTATCTATCTATCTATCTATTATCTATCTATCTATTATATCTATCTATCTATTATCTATCTATCTATCTATCTATCTATCTATTATCTATCTATCTATCTATCTATCTATCTATCTATCTATCTATCTATCTATCTATCTATTATCTATCTATTATCTATCTATCTATCTATCTATCTATCTATCTATTATCTATCTATCTATTATCTATCTATCTATTATCTATCTATCTATCTATCTATTATCTATCTATCTATTATCTATCTATCTATCTATCTATCTATCTATCTATCTATTATCTATCTATCTATCTATCTATCTATCTATCTATCTATTATCTATCTATCTATCTATCTATCTATAATCTATCTATCTATTATCTATCTATCTATCTATCTATCTATCTATCTATCTATCTATCTATGTCTTTGGTTTCTTATGATTCAAGATTACTTCTTGTCGTTTTTTTCAGTACTTATGATGATGTGCAGTCTAAATAAGTCTACGTCATTCTTCTTGCATCTATCAGTAAATGTATTGTTTCCAATAACATATAAGATTCTGGGTAAGCAATTCTAGAATTTCGTATCTTTTACAGTAAAACTTCATTTTAGTAAATCATTTCACAATTGTAAATATGTTGAGTAATTTTAACCTTTAATATTGTTCAAATCATTATTTATTTTATTTTTTAAAGGAAGATTAACTGAATATTTTAAATATGTTAAATGTTAAGTAAAAGTAACATAGAAGATGATGCCCTAGTGAATTAGACAGCTTTGAAGGTTTTCTTTCTCTCTGGACTGAAGAAATCTTAACAGATGAATAGCCCCATTTGGGTGCTTCAATGTAAAGCATCACAAGGCCAGCGTATCTAGACTGCTCTGCCCTTGTAGTAGATAACACATTTTGACTCACTGGGTCTTTGAATTCACCATTTAAGGAAGGAAACAAATATGAAATTTAAATAAATCAACACCCTATGCAATTTCCCCTCCAATCTTCCCACTCCACCAATCATAATGCAGCCTAAAGAAGAGGCTGGATCTGAATGAGGAAAATTCATGAGGAATCGACAGCACAGTCCATGTAAAAAAACTGTGTAACAAAACAAATCAATACAACTGTTACACAAAGTCTGAACTGCACAAACTATATACTGTATAATATATTTATTAAAGCATATTACATTAAATCGTTAAAAAAAAGGAATCTTTATGGCACACTACAAATGTATTTCCATTGTAAATGTAACAAATCAAGTAATTCCCTTATCTGCAGCAAATGGTTTTACTTTTGAAACACACATTTACATGAATATTTTTTAAACAAGTGATATAAAGGAGTAAAATTTTTTGTCAATGGGAAATCAGACAAATTTAAGTGAATTCTTTCTCTCTGGATTTTCTGACCTTCCTGATCTTCATTTTCTTCTCTTTCTCTTCTTCCTTCTCATTTATCTTCTGACATTAATCTGGAATTTGCTGATCATCTACCTCATAGTCATCGACTCACACCTCCATATTCCTATGTATTTCTTCCTTGGGAACCTGGCCAGTTTGGACCTCTGTTTCTCCACGGTGACCCTCCCACGAACGTTGTTTGACCTTCACACCAAGAGCAGAAAGATTTCCATGAAAGCTTGTATAACTCAAGTTTTTTCATTTTTATTCTTTGCCGCTGCTGAAGGTTTACTATTGACTGTCATGTCCTATGATCGATATATACCGCCATTTGTCAGCCATTGCATTACATACAGATTATGAGTTGGAAAGTGTGCGTACAGTTGGTGTCCATTGTGTGGTGTATTGCTTTTACCAATGCTTTAGTTCACACACTTTATGCCTTAAAATTAACATTTTGTGGATCAAATATTATAGAAAGTTTCTTCTGTGACCTGCCCAAGTTGTTTCAGATCTCCTGCAGTGACATCTCCATCAACATTCTGCTTATCTTCATTGTGGGTGGCTTGCTTGGAGTTGGGTCTCTAATACTGACTCTCCTCTCCTATGTTTCTATATTCAAAAGTGTCCTTAAATTACAAGCTAAGGGCAACATAAATAAAGTTTTCTTCACATGTACTCCTCATCTGACTGCGGTCTTCATATTTTATGGCTCTGTTTTTTTTAATTATTTTCAGCCAAGGTCTAATTCTCATTTTCCTGGAGACAAAGTGGGTCCTATTTTTTACACGGCGATCACTCCACTTCTTAATCCTTTGGTTTACAGTCTGAGGAACCAGGATTTCAGAAAGTCATTCCAGTATGTTTTTAAGGAAGATAATGCATAATTAGTCTAAAACAACCTTCATTCCTGGATCTCAGAAGGTTATTGGTGTTGATTTACTAAAGGTATATGGGTTGTGCAGCGCAAGTGCAGTTGCTTTAGATATGTGGGGAACATGCAAGGAAAATAAACAAAGAGCTTCTCCTCGGATCTAGATATGTGGGGAACATCAAGGAAAATAAACAAAGAGCTTCTCCTCGGATCTAGATATGTGGGGAACATGCAAGGAAAATAAACAAAGAGCTTCTCCTCGGATCTAGATATGTGGGGAACATGCAAGGAAAATAAACAAATGGCATTTTTGATTTAATATGATTGGATGAAAGAAATCAGTAGAGCTTCGCCTCATTTCAGAGCTTCTCCTCGGATCTAAAGCAACTGCACTTAAAGTGCCCTTGCAGTGCACAGCCTATTTACCTTTAGTAAATCAACCCCCTTGTGTTTTTAGGACTCAAAAATTCATTAGAAAGATGAATGATAAGTGTGCTCAGATACATTGCAAATTCAAGTTACTGTACTATTATGTGCCTGTTCTTTGTAGGTGCAGGTAGTTTTATATTTACTTTGTGACATACAGCATGACATCTACATTTACCAATGCATGCTTGTACTCTGTGCTGTATTATATAAAAACAAAAATAAAAAAATATTTTTCTTTTAACCGCCTCCCACCCGCCATATAAGGTAATGACGGGCGCAAGGCAGTTCTCTCGTTCTGGGAGGACGTCATATGATGGCCTGTTCTTACCTGACTGTTGTACCGATCCGACAGCCTTAGGACTAATCCTGCAATACCAGTGCACAGAATCAGACCCATTTACAGTACTGGAGGAGGGGGGGGGGTTGGCTCCTGAAATGCAATGGAATTTTTCTAGTGTGACTAAGTTGTATCATTAAATTGGTTCTTTTTTCAGTGCTACCAAACTGGAGCCAGAGTGACCAGTAGCTGCTTGTAGTGATCCATAGAATATATGAACCCAAGACGCAAGGTATCCCAACCTTCACACTTGGCATGGGTAGAGTGTATATTGGGAGTGATCAACAGAAGGAGTTCTGGAATGCATATCAGGAACAGTGGCAGTCCAAGCAGTAATTTTATGCTACAAGAATGACAAATATGTTGGGTGGCTGGCATTGTTCAGGAGGCTCCATGAATGAGAGGTGTGTATTAAATCAGCATTATGACCAGAGTGGAAGCAACTAGCAGCAATATTGGGGAAGGAATCTGTCCAACACTGCCAATGATAGAACAGTTTTCTGGGGTTGAGGAGATAAGTCAGCATCAGAAATGCTGAGCGCTGCCTCTTTAAATAGCACTTAGGGAAAAGTGTAAGAATAGCTGTAAATGTAGATATATACTAAAGGTATATTAAAGGTATAGGTAGGAATAGCTGGGGACATGTTTCTTACCTGCAGTACATAGGAACAGGTATAGATTGGTATGAACAAGAAACACTGTGAGCAGTAATATTTAGAAATATAAAGCAGGAAGTACAGTGATCATGGTCAGCAGTATACAGAAGAGAGAATAGCAGGCACAGTGACAGTGTCAGGGCTCCCAGGTATGACCAGAGGTGTGTGACTGAAGCAGGGAAACGCAGACTTCAGATATGTGATTAACAATGTAATTTATTAACACTAACAATACAAACATAAACGCAGTGCAATACTAAACATAATACAGTGCAAACAAACCCAACCAACCACCCACAGATAACAGTACATACAAGCAAGCGTCGTCAGGCAGGCCGAGTCAATATCAATTGGGCAGGTAGGTACAGGGGGAGCAAGCGGAGAATGGTCGGGGTCACAGGCCAGGTTCAGCAGGTAGCAAGCAGCGTAGTACAGAGGGTCAGGCAGAGGGATGGTCAGGGTCACAAGCCAGGGATCAGAACAGGTAGCAAGCAGCGTAGTACAGAGGGTCAGGCAGAGGGATGGTCAGGGTCACAAGCCAGGGATCAGAACAGGTAGCAAAGGAACAGAAACAGGATGCAGGACAGATACAGGGCCCAGGACAAACACAACACCAAGGCAGAGTCTGCAAGTCTGGCCATCCCTTAAATACCCCAGCATAATCAGTTCCAGGTGTTAGCTGGCTGCAAAGTTGAGTCTCTGAATGCTGGGAGCATCCGCTGGCCAGCCCTGGTACTGCAGATCAAAAGGCAGGTGAGTCCCACCATTGCTGGCTAGTCCATTCCTGACAGACAGTGGCCAGCAGGGTAACAAAAGGAGTACAAGTGTCACGGGCCTTTAACACAGGAATCAGCAGTACATGGGTTTTAACATAGGTTTCTGCATCAGGGGTGGACTGACAACTCATGGGGCCCCCGGGCAATAGGGGATCATGGGGTCCCTGTGTCCTTGCCCAAACTCAAAAAAGCCTATGAAAAAGGGACCAGGGGGCATCTCATGGGACCCCCTACTGACCCCGTGCCCTCGGGCAGTACCCGAGTTTCCAAATGGTCAGTCCGCCCCTGTTCTGCATAGACTGGCTTGGAAAGCGGACCCAGTTGCAGTAAGAAATGGCACATTAATAGCCGTCAGTAGGATAAAGCCAGGACTATAATTGGCATGGATAGATTTGTGTTAATTAACAGGATACAGTAAAAAAGAAGAATAGTCATGAATATGAATAGATAGCGCAGACTTAAGTTCACCTTTTTGTAACAAGTTACATGTTACAGCTATATTCAGGTTGTAACATGTGATATGTTACGTTCAGACCAGCCCCTGCTCCCCCCTGCTTTGACAACTAGTGGGGGATCTTCTCCCTCCTCGCTAGCTGTCAAATGTAGAAAAAAAAAAATTGGCCATGCGGGGCTCCGCCCACATGGCCGTGTCACTCATTCGCAGTCATGAGAGACCACAAGTCCCCGCAGCCTTAGCGGCTGTCAGAATATCTGCTTGCTCATACATCCTGTACATCTCATACATCCTGTACACCCCGCACATTTTTCGGGTCGGCGTTTGGTGGCGGGCATCGTGATTGATTTTGGATCTACTTCGGGGTGCATTTTATTAATTTTTGTTTTTAATAAAGGACTTGTCACAGACTACTACACTTTTTTTGTGAATGGGCAGTGGTACCATGTACCGCATAGTCATTCACAAAAGTGGGGACGAGATGTGGGAGTCCCCTTGTTAAAGGGGGCTTCCAGATTCTGATCAGCCCATCGCCCGCAGATCCCACAACAGGGGCGGACTGACCAATTGGAAACTCGGCACTGCCCAAGGGCCCGGGGTCAGTAGGGGGCCCCATGAGATTCTCCTCGTACCTTTTGCATAGGCTTTTTTGAGTTTGGGCAAGGATACAGGGGCCCCATGATCCCCTATTGCCCGGGGGCCCCATGAGTTGTCAGTCCGCCCCTGCCCCACAACCACTGGACAGGGTTGTGGGGAAGAGATCCTTGTCCCCATCAACATGGGACAAGGTGCTTTGGGGGGTGAGCCCCCCTACCCCAAAGCACCCCCCCCATGTTGAGGGCATGTGGCCTGGTATGGTTCAGTAAGGGGGGTACTCACTCGTCTCCCCCCTTTCCCGACCTGCTGGGCTGCATGCTCAGATAAGGGTCTGGTATGGATTTTGGGGGGGCATGACATTTTTTTTTACATTTTGGCGTGGGGGGTTCCTCTCAAAATCCATACCAGACCTGAGGGCTTGGTATGGATGGGAGGGGGGACCCCACTCCATTTTTTTTTTGGTCATTTTTTAATTGTCGGGCAATGCCGACAATTCTTTTGACATTCAACTGTCATCGGGGAACCCCACTGACAGCTGAAATATGAATGAATGTCTCACTTCTAAAATACAGCGTGACTTCATAATATAACCCATGCCGGATTTTAGTAACTAAGCAGTATCTTACCACGTACTTAGATGCGGTTAGAAACCGCTCAGTAAATTGTCCCTGTTCGAAGTTCACTGTCGAACTTTCGGTAGGTTCAATTGTTTGACAGTGAACCAAACCTCCACCTTTTTTTACTATCTTTTTTACTATCTTCAACTTAAGCATGCAGTAAAGGCCCAAGGACCACCTGAATTATGACACCTTTCCCCTCCACCCACATTTAACTATGTGCAATCTGTCATATCTAATAAGGGTTCCATCTCTCACTGTTATACAATGCTCTTAAACAGCTACCTTGAGGGCTACCTGAGTAGGATTAGAGAATGATGAGAGAAGGATGTGCACACATTCGAGGAAGATCAATGGGAACAGCTTAACTAGCCCACAGGTTCTTTCACCTCTTTATTAATTTAAGAGTTATTTAATATTTCAATTCGAATGCACTCTAAAAAACGCAAGCTATGGTGCTAAGCCAGAGCCCTCTATGTAGGATCTCATCCATACGTTATGGCAACGTCTCAAGGTACAACATTATTGGGTGTTGGTGTTAGAAACTCTTACCTCTGTTTTCCAAACCACCATACAGCTTGACCAAAAACAATGTATATTGGGCATACTTGACGAAGTCACCCGACAGTCACATCAGATAGTGGCAATCTCTAGCTCTGGTTCACACCAAATGTGACACTGAAATTGTGCTACTGCAATTGAAGTAGCTCAATATGGCTTGCTTGTCATCTGTTGGATTTAAAGCACAAATGTCAAAGCAAGTCGCACCTGAAATTTCAAAAATTAGTGCAGGAACTATTTTCCAAATCGGTACGACTCTGATGTGGATTTGAAGGGTTCTATTGCTATCAAAAGGGTGGGAACTGTCAAATCGCATGACAAGTTGCACC